CTAAAGCTTGAAGGAGGGAAACAAGCTTGCTGATGCATGAAGTTCTGAGCCTGAGGCAAAGCGAAACTTGTCTGTGATGTACATTTGAATGTAGGCAGCATTGAAATTAAAGAATTTTTTTTTTTAAACCAAACTTTTAAAGTTCAATGGAAACATGGAAATAAAGCCTTCGAGCTATTATTTCGTAAGTTTAGTGGACTTCGGCCGTGTACTGCCCTGAATAATTTCAGGAGTTGAGCCGATACACTTTCTCATCTATTAAAATCAGAAAATACGGAAGTGGGATGGGGGGGCAATGGTATAAGCATGAGGATGTCATTGTTGAATATATGTGTATATATAGATATTTGGTGCTGCATGGTCGTTGCTAGAAAACCTACTGTCTTAATATGTGAGAATCCCCACCCCACCGTTTCATTTCATGTTATTCAATGTATGTGTATATACACGTGTAAATGATTTGGTCAACAGTAAGGTATTTCCTTTGTATTTTAAATTTCCTTGCATTGTAAAGCTGGGGCGACCATCCCCGACCCACCGCGTCCACAGGTGGCGGATAGTGGAACGGCCTACATTATGTAGGGTAGCTGCGAATAACCAATAAGCAGTCGCGGACCAACTGGCGACAGTCTTGGAGAGCGAGGTGGGACAGGGTGGTGGCAACCCTGTCTCTATAAAATACCTTATGTGCTCAGTAAAGAGACTGTCAGGCGAGAGGGAGGCGCCGAAACCTGCCACCTGCCCCCACTGCCTTGTGGGTTAGTCCTTTTGGACAAAGGCTAGCGGAGTAAACCGTACAAAAATCCAGCAGAAGGCAAGGGGAAACCACTGCTGTATTCTTCCCCTAGAACATTATGGATCATATCACTTCAATAAATAAAGATAAAGACGTAAAGGGGAGTTCTGAAAGAACTGCCTCGTCCGGTAGGGTCAGTCATGCACAGCAGGTGACACCAGATCGTCATCAAGATACTGCTCACAAAAGGAAAAATCAAACAAGAAACACAGCAACCTGGAATGTGAGAACATTGCTAGAGAAAGGAAAACTGGACAACATCAAGAAAGAAATGAAGAGAATGAATGTTAACATCATGGGTTTATGTGAAGTACGATGGACAGGAGCTGGCAGAATATTGTCCGACAGCAATAACATCATTTACTCAAGAGGCGACAAACATGAAAGAGGAGTAGCGGTCATCTTGGACATGCCAACATCGAAGACACTAAAGGGGTACCTGACAATATCAGACAGAGTTATGCTGGTGAGACTGAAAGGATCACCATTCGATACAACCATCATCCAAGCATATGCGCCAACCTCAGAAAGCACAGAAGATGAAATAGAGAAATTTTATGATGAAATAAACCAAGCAAAGACACATTGTAAATCACAAGATATTGTCATAGTCATGGGTGATTTTAATGCAAAAGTGGGAGCAATAAGACATGAAGACATAGTGGGTCCATATGGACTGGGAAACAGAAATGAAAGAGGAGAAAAACTGATAGAATGGGCCATCCTGAATGACATGATTATTGGAAACACTTGGTATGAACAACCACCAAGAAGATTATGGACCTGGAAGAGTCCTGGAGACAGCGCTCGCAACCAGATCGACTATATCATGATCAAGAAAAGATACAAAAACGGGATGCTCAATGTCAAAACGCGGCCAGGTGCAGACTGTTACAGTGACCATGTACCCGTAGTGGGAAAATTTAGAATCAGATTGAAAAAAACACACATGAGCAAGAAAAAGAATATGAAACTAAACATGGCCATACTACAATCAAACAAAGAAATGCAAGATAAATTCAGAATAACTGTACAAAACAAATTCGCTCCCTTAGAAGAAATACAAGACATAGAAAAACAATGGGAACTGCTTAAAACATCTATAAATGAGGCTGCAAAAGAAGTCATACCAGAAAAGACAACAAAAGCAAAGAAGAAATGGATGACTGAAGAAATTCTTAATCTTATGGAGAAACGAAGAATAAACAAAAACAATTTGGAAAAATATATGAATCTTCATAAAGAAATCAGACACAAATGTAATCTAGCAAAAGAGACCTGGTTAAAAGAAGAATGTGAAGAAATGGAAAATCATTCCAATGCGAACTCAAAAGATCTACACAGAAAAATTAAAGAGGTGTGCCATACAAGAACACGTGGATCAACAGGATGCCTCAAATCAAAGGATGGGAATATCATAATGGACAGAGACAAGATACTAGAACGTTGGACAGAATATATCGGTGACCTGTACAATGACAAAAGAGATGAACAAAGAAGAGTGGAAAATAACAACGAGGGACCACCAATCATGAAAGAAGAAGTTGTCAAGGCACTACGAAAGATGAAGAATGGGAAAGCGGCAGGACCGGACAACATCACCACAGAGATGATTAAAGCTTTAGAAGACTTTGGAATCACCACACTGACAAAACTTCTTAACAACATATATGCCACTGGACATATTCCATCAGACTTGTCAAAATCTATCTTCATAGCTTTACCAAAGAAACCCAATGCAAACGAATGTGAAACACATCGAACCATCAGCCTCATGAGCCACATAACAAAAATATTACTCAGAATAATTATGATGAGAATAAGAAATAAAATTCTCCCAGAAATAGCCCAAGAACAATGTGGATTTATTGAAGGAAAAGGCACTGTAAATGCCATATATGTCATCAGAACAACAATAGAACGTGCCCTAGAAGTTCAGAAAGATCTTCATTTATGTTTTATAGACTACACCAAGGCATTCGACAAAATCAGGCACGACAAGATCATCGACATGCTGGAAGTTCTTAATATCGACGGGAAGGACTTACGGATTATCAAAAACATGTACTGGGATCAAACAGCTGCAATGAGAATAGAAAACGACATCAGCGAATACATACAGATTAAAAGAGGAGTCAGACAAGGATGTGTACTTTCTCCAGACTTGTTCTCCCTGTATAGTGAAAATATCATGAGACACATAGAAGAAATGCCTGGTATTTCGATAGGGGGACATAATATAAACAATCTAAGATATGCAGATGACACAGTCCTAATAGCAGAAGATGAAAAACACCTGCAGAATCTATTAAATGTCATCGTACAAGAGAGTGACAACATGGGCTTAAACCTAAACATCAAGAAAACCGAAACGATGGTGATAAGCAGAAATACTCCAATCCCAACATGCAATATCAAAATCAATGATACCACCCTCAAGCAAGTACAACATTTTAGATATTTGGGGACCATTATATCATCAGATGGTAGATGTCACACCGAAATTAAAAGCCGCATTTGCCAAGCAAAAGCAACCTTCCACAAGATGAAACAAATACTAACAAACATCAATCTGGAAATGAGGAAAAGAGTAATGAAAAGCTACATCGAGCCAATCCTATTATACGGGTGCGAAGCATGGACAATCAATAAACAGCTGGAAAAAACAATTGTTGCGGCAGAGTTGTGGTTCATGAGACGCATGCTACGTATCCCATGGACAGCTAGAAAAACAAATGAAGAAGTCCTGGTTGAAGCAAATTATAGAAAACAACTTATCACGAATATAAGAAAACGACAGGCAAATTTTTTCGGACACACAATGCGGAAAGAAGCATTGGAGAACATTGTAACAACAGGAAAGTTTGATGGAAAGAGAGGTAGAGGCAGACAGAGGGAAAAGATACTGGACAAGATGACAACATGGCTGGGAGCAGCAAGAACAACAGACACCATTGCTGCTTCGAAAGACAGATGGAAGTGGAGGTCCATGATCGCCCACGCCAGTCGGCAAGGCACCGGATGATGATGATGATGATCAAAATAGGGCCCGGGCATAGTGGGTTAACTCCTCCTCTCCCCCCACCCCAAATCGGGGATAAAGAGTTCGACAGTAGGCCTACGTTTGTCTTGTTCACAGATTCAATATCATTTAGGACCCTACGGTCGCTACCAGTTGTTCGTGATGTCTCCCTCTTTCTGATCAGATTACACACTTTTAATACTTTTATGATATAGATCTAAGCCTTCTTTTCTCGCAAACTGGCAGGTAGCACGATACGACAAAATGTATCAACAAGTCTGACGTGGCTCCAGGAGGCAAGGAGACAGTTCTTCGGTTATTTTCGGTAATGTGATAACTAACCGAAAGAGCGCGCGAGGGAAGACAACTCGGATTAGCTAATCCTTCGAGTTCCGAAGCCTATTCATCGGAAAGTAGATTCTATCCCCATCAACAAGTGGAGCTGCTAATAGTTTAGCGAAGTGTTTGCAGTATACCAGTGATGTTTTAGAATCTAGATCTAGTTTTGGTGGTTCGGGAACAAAGTAAAAGTAATTTTGCAGTATGTCGAAGACGCCGAATTCTAAAGGCAAACAAGCCAATTTGTTCAGCTTCTTCAAGAAAACTCCGAAATCAGGATCGGAGAACTCGCCAAGTCAGACTGTTGATGCCAATAATGGAGATGAAAAGAAGACGGTGTCGAATGGTGATGTTCTTTCTCCTAAGAGATCTCCTAACTCTGTCAAAGGCAAAGGGAAGACAAGTCCAAACTCTGCGAAAGGGAAAGGTGGAGCAAAGAAGGAAACCAGTTTGCCAGGTGAGTGCAGAAATGCACTGAATCTTTTTGTTACCATGGGCATGGGGGCCAACAAGGCCAAGGCCCATGAAACATTAAAAACTGATGAAGGATGGAGTTGTTTGAGGCTTGATGAGCTGGAAGAGTTTGAACTGTCTGAATTTGCTTGGCTATATATTTTGTGGGAGGATTTCCGTAACAAGCGACCACTTTGAAAAAGAGTAGAATAGAGGGGTAGGGTTAGGGGTATGGATGGGGTAGGGATAGGGTAAGGGTAGGGGTCCGAGTAGGGTTAGGAGTTGGGTCAGGGTTAGGGTTAGATCTAGAAGACTAGTCTCTAGATCTAGATTCTAGGTCTCTTCTTTTATTGTGAAAAACTGTGTATGCCTTTGGCGTGTTGCACGGAG